GTTAAAACAAATTTATCTTATAATAAATTTATAACCTGCAATAACAGCAAGTTGGAAAACAGAGAGAGTGAATACCGTGAGTTATCAATACTAGAACATTAAGTTAGGAAGTTAAGCAGTGGTGAAAAACTCAGAGAGATCTTGAAAGGATTCAGCCAAAAGAAACGATTTCAAATGTGAAAAAAATTTGCTGATCTCTGAGTTCTTAAAGTGAAGTCTAATATTTAGAGGGAGAGCATTGAACAGCTGAATAGAAGCAAACTTAACACTGTTTTCAGAAATTTTGTACTTGGTGGAATTGTTGGGGATGAAGAAGTGTCTGCTGTTGTAGTTGTGTGTGGGAAATAGATCAGCCGGCTTTATTATTTCTCCTTCTACTGCATATTTAATACATTCATAGATGTATAAAGAGGTCACTGTAAACAGTCTCTCTGATGACATTATTTCTTTACAGTCACTTCCATATGGTTTGTTGTATATAATTCTAATGATCTTGAGGTGTTCTTATATTTGAGGTAATATTTTGCATGTAAACCCTTAAAATGAAGCTCTTGTTTAAGACTGCATAATATACACGTAATAAGTTTCACCATGTAGGTGGGTGCTGCTGCCTTCATGGACGAGCAATAATAGTAACTCCTACTGATTATGAGGAAATCTCCTGCGCCAACAGTGGCGTTGGTATCACTTTTTGGCTCCAACATTTTAAATTCCTAGAACCCCCAGTGAAAGGTCACTGAAAATGTGGCTTCTTGCGGCAAACTATCCCCAGAATTGTGATTACACTCCTTTCACGGCCATATTTAGAGAAGAGATGGGGAAACTTTGGCGAATCACTACAACTTCAATGCGCTCAACTGCAGCTGATGACAAAGCTATAATGGAAACAATGGAACTCTTGCGCAACGCCGGGATACAATGTTGCCATCGGTTCCTCTTTAATAATGCATTTCTCTGCGAGAGGAATTTGATTATTCAGCCTCTTCCCGGAATCCGGCAACACCGCAGGGATTCGCGAATTAATTATTCTTCCCTCCGTAAGCATAACAGCTCGTGAGAAACAGTTGGTGCTGCTGATTAAGCCCCAAATCCAGCCCCCCCCCCCCCCCAACCCGTTGCCCCGAGCATGAAAGGGGTCCAAAGCTGGGGCTGCGATGGCATATGAGAAAAGAGCTATTGGCAGGACCGATAATTTTGTATAATTATTCGTCATTCGTATAATTTATGCAGGAGAAGGATTTAACAAATGAGTGGGGATGTATATTTACAAGTGATGTGATGAATTTTGGTTATTTGACGCGGGTGCGTCATTCCAAAACTGAATGGGGGAGCTTAGAAAATATCCCAAAGTTTTATTATGTTGATTAAAATTTTCTGAGATAAAAAGTTGAAGGTTGGAATCTTTAAAAACTGAAAAAGATTGTTCGCCTCCGCCCCCTTTTCATGATGATTTCCGTATTAGGAAACCAGCGGGCTGATTTTTGAAACTGATGGGCATAGTTATGGACAAAGGCGACAAAAGGGATATAAAGGGGATCTTATTGGTGTAAGCGGGTGGATACAATGGACAATGGTGGTAGACAATAGACTAAATAGCGGCAAACCACGAGAGGCCCTGTAGTTAGTCCATAACTTTCTCCCTAGTCTGTAGGAATCAACCATTTCAACCAATAGGAACGCTCCACAATTCCACACTCCCTACGTCTTCTTTGTCTATCGCTTTGTCTATCAATTCCAACAATCAGCCCGCTGTTGTAACCTGTTGCGACCACTTTATGTGGCCCTGACTTTAGAGCAGAGGAGGCTACTGGACAATTTATGAAGTGAAGCACCACGTTGCGTGTTCACTTAGAAAATTTTATTTGAAAGGCAATTCACGCGATGAGAAGTTCGGAGAGAAACCCTTAGGGGAGAAATTAAAAAATAAGCTTTCGAACTGTACTTCGCATTGAGAAAAAACTATTTCTGAGTCACTCATAGAAATATCTACATCTGCATAAAAAACTTATGGTCCATGCGCTGTCTCTGAAATAAGCTGAAAATAGTGGTTCCTTATTGCAAAATGTAGTCCTAATACTTTTACCTCTTCAGGACATAATTCTCGACCATTCCGTTGTGCCTAATTTTTTACGTAAATTTTGAATAGAAAAAACGTAACGGGGTGATTTACGTCGAACCCTATCTAGATTACATTTTTCAATAAGAAATCACTATTTATGACTAATTTTAGAAACAACATATGTGACATTAGTTTCCCCATGTAGATAGGAGTTTTCGTGGATGAGCTAGAAATATTACAGTAATTCCTTATTGCAAAATGCGGTCCATCTGGTGGCCCCATAGCAACAGTACACTCACTCGTGCCTTGCTGTGACCTGAAAATCTACATATTTGGCGAGCTGGAATTGAATTGCCGCACAGGACAATATGAAATCAATGAGAAAAGCACATACTCTTTTCGACGAGGGAAACAAGACAGCGATAGGTGGGAGGAATCTTTGGAGTTGACAGTAATTACATGTGAAAGCAAACTGTCAAGCTCCTGTCAATAGTAAACGTGTAAAGTTGCTAGATTGTGCAATTAAATGCAGATATTTCACATGGCTTTAAATTGGAGAACGTGCTGAAATTTCAGCACTATCGGACGACTATGTATGCGTGACACGAATTCGCGACAACGTGATGAGACTTGACGCGATCCGACGTTTTCGACATCCGAGGGATGGTTTCGGTATTGGAACAGCTTCGACAAAGAAGTAGGAGAGATCACTTATTCTAGCTGTCTTGCTCCGGAAGAATGCCGTGTGAAAATTCAGTCGTTGTTAAATTTCATCTGATAAAATATACGGTGAAAAATCTCTCAGAGCATGTGAAGGAATGTAGAAATGAGGGGCTTGGAGGCTTGGCATTTGTCCCAAAAGAAAAATGAGAAAACAGCCAAACTAGGGACGCTTCGTCAAAATAATTCAGAGGAATCAATCTCTACAAATTATGCTCAGATACCTAAATATTTCGCGATTTTGAGGACCGACATCATTGTAATACATTAGAGCAATCACTGCATTTTCGGAAAATTCACAATGTCACGATGAAAATCAGGAATAGTTTACGTCATACACGATAGGCAGCGCTGGAATTAAGTTAAGGTGTATAAAAAACAAGCGAAGCGCCCGCCCTCTCAATCAGCTTTAGTTAGTATCGTGTGCGACGTGACGAACAGAACAAATTCTGTTCAGGCGCCTGGATGCAACTATTCGAACTCCTCGGATGTCCATGTTGCATACGATCTAAAGTGAAGGCGTTTTGAAACTCCACACACTGCACTCAGCGCTTCACCCGTTGGGCAGCGCGGCGGACACTACTTCGACCTCGAGAAGCCAAAAAGACAGAGCGTTCGTTGAATACAGCTCTTCGCTCTGCTATCAATATCTGAATTTTAAGTTTTTTTGAACTAAGGTTCCTTTTTCTATAGGACGGGCACAGTCACAAATACTCATAGTTTTCCTAAATAATAAATATATTAAGTATTCGGTGAAATTTGACAACATACTCGAATGCTCATTCGGGGTTTTTCTCTCATAGCTGTACTCTGACGTGTTAAGGAAAAACGCCGTATGAACATTCAAGAGTTGCCAAATTTCCATCATTAAAATGTATTTTTTTTAAAGGAAAATGAAAATTTTTCCCTGAAATTTTCAGGAACTATGGGTAAAATTACGAACAAAATTATATAAAAAATTGGAAGAAAAATATCCACACGTTTACCAGGAAATTCGTGTTTTATTAAAGTAAATTTGGCAACGTCTGGAGGCTCATACGGCGTTCTTCCACAGCACGGCTGTGGTAAGGTAAAAGCTATTTGAACATTAAGACGTTGCCAAATTTCTTCAATAAAGGACACATGTTTTAAGAAGCTTTCGATATTTTTCTTCCGGTTGCTCAAATAATTTTTTTCCTAAATCAATGGAAAGTATCTTAAAGTTTTAAGGACAATGCGCCTACCTTTCCTGAATTATGAATATTTTATGAAAGGAAATTTGGTAACAGTAGAAAGTTCATACGACCTTTTTCCTCAGCAAGGCAAAGTATTCTAGAACTTGCTCGAATCTTGAACCGGAACAAAAAAGAAACTTCTCTTCGGCTCGGTGCACGTTTCAGCTATGATTACATTCTCGTTCCATTCAGTTCCAAACTTGCAAAATAGAGTATTTCCGTCTCAGAAAAACAAAAAGTTATTTCACCGGCCTTTTTCACTTATTTTTTTTTTTATACAGCGTCAAGTTTTTCTCTCCCTTTCTGGGAAATTGTAGGTGTATTGAACAAAAGATACGCGGAAGTAATTCGATTGTGTAACTAAAGAGACACGTACCACGGTTTGCATATTCACTGTGATAATTGTATTCTTTGGAATACTGCTTAATATCGGTATGCACGGACCCACTTACTCCAAAATTTACAACAAGGATCTTAATTCTTGAAATTTCAATTTCCTTCCACTCGGGTCGACGTTTTTAACCAAAAGGCTTACAGGCCAGTCAAAAACATCGACCCGAGTGAAAGAAAATTGAAAATTCAAAAATTAAGATCTTTGGTGATGATTTTTTTTTTTTTTTTTTTGAGTGAGTGGAACATGTTATACATCAATAGAAACGCCAAATCCTCGAAAAGTAAGTCGTGAACACATTTTTGCCGAAAAATCGGCTGAATTCGTAAAAAATAAATGGTTTCGATCTCCCATGTTATATTCTATTAGAAATGAAGAAGGGGTCGTCTGGTGTCTGATCGGCTGACAAACGCGCGAGAAGATCTGGTGGTCACGCACTTCCCCTATTCAATGCACACTCTTTCTTACATTCTCTTTGCTCCAGTTGGTGAGCCGGGGAGGTTGTTGGGATATTATTTCAACCAGATCAGATCCTAAAAACTGGGTCAATATATACCTGAGAGTAATATCTGTGTGTAGCAGACGAATATTCATGAATATTTATGATAATATTTACCTGTACCATCCGAACCCGAGTATGCTCAATCCTAAAACTGCCGCTGCGCTACATCCTGCTATCATCACTGTGGAAACATACGAATACAACCTGAATTAGTTATTTGAAACACACAGTCGTTTAACACATTAAATTCATAAATTGTCATTTTTTCAAAATTATAATTCACTCTCACGAAATGCGTCGCAAAGCAATCTGAAATTTCTTAAGATTATCATGGCAAGTATCTGTCTCATCACAATATGATAAAAAACTAAAAATTGATTTGAGGCAGGATGACAGACGCACCGTCGCTTTGCGTGGCCTCCGCGTGCGTCAAACACTTACTGTTTGTAAAGCCTAAAAAAAATTCCCGTACCCCGTTCGTGGCGTTTCAACATCTCCAGTTTTATTTTACTTAATTTGTTTCAAGAAAACTAAATTAACCAAACTTTCATTCAGCTCATCGAATCAAAAAGGTAATGATTTGCGTAAAATTCCAAATTATTTTTAAGGCACTATCAAGCGAAATGTTACATAAATTAAAAACAGGGCGATATTGTTTTTTTCCCCTTCTTCGTTTTTTTCTTTTTATTGCAATGTTATGAAAGCGAGAAGTTTGTGATATGGAAAGCCGAAATATATGGTTTTCTGCATTTATCGTCTCTTTTTAGAACGATTCGAAATAAAAAGTATTTTTCTTTTTGGATGAATAAAGAAATAATTTGCGTTCTTTGATCCGGATGGGAGGAAGGGGTGCGAAAATCAAAATAGGCTGACGTTAAAATCAAAATCTTGCCATTATAAACTGAACTTTGCGAGTAGGCAACATTTTTCTGGAAATTTTCTTAGACAATCATTCTCGTCCGTTTCGGATACTTACAATATATTCTCATCTATAATTTAATTACATTTTTACGGTTTTGTCATGAAGGTCTGAAGATACCTTGATGAGGTCTAAGGTCCCTCGATGAGCAAGGAAAAAACTTTGTTAAGGGAAAACGTGTTATTTCAAACAAAGCTTGGAGTAAATTTTTTTGCACTGAGTGCCCTTAACATTTTCAATGTACTTGTATGATCAAAACTAAAGCTGTAAATAAAGAGGAATTTGTGTAGAAAAGTAAATAACACGTTTTAAATTTGTAACATTTCATTTTTCTATCCGCTTCAAGAACATAGGTACCCTAAAAATTCATGCAAAACGATCTGTACTTTCTTAACTGCATGGGTTCAATGGATTCTTCAAATTTTTTCAGTATACCTCAAAATACACCACGTGAGGTTACATTCCGATCACGGTTCTCGGATAACCTCAACCTTTGTGGTCTATGTCGAATTTTCAATGGCAAAAAGATGATCGCGGCGGCCTCTACTTGGAGTTAGAAAATCGATTTCATGTTGGCACAATCCACGACCTTGTCCTCCTTCCATCATTTTAACATTCATGAACAGATTTGGAGGAAAGGTTAAATCCATGAGTGAAGTTGCGTCGGTGGAGGAAAGGGTAGCAAATAATACCCAACAACCCCCCCCCCCCCCCCCNCATAATTTTTGAATCGCGCCAATGTTGCGGGGATAAACCTCTTAGAGATTTGAAGAATAAAAATCCCGTTTTCTTTCAAAATATGTGATGGAATTTTAAAAAAAATTGAAGGTGCACTGTGAGAAAAATACTAGGAAAAACCACACACACACTGAAAACAAATTCTCGGCGTTTTTACCAAGGTCCGTTGGTACCTTTACCATCTCACTTTTTACCGATTATTGGTAATTTTACCAAGACAGACCGGTAAGCTTACCTTAAAACCGGTATTTTTACTGTATTTTTCAGGTAAGAATACCACTTTTATTGGTAATCAATTCCCGGTAACTTTGCCATTTTATCTCGGCAATTCTCCCACAGTCGATGAAAAATATTGGCGTTTTTATGTGGGTCCAGTAAAATTACCGAGAAAGTTCAATAATTTTACCAAGATTTCACGGTAAAATTACCAATTCCATAAATGGTAATTTTACCAAGAAAAAACTTGGATCCAATAGAACCCTGAATTCTTGGTAATTTCACCCTTTTCTTAGTAAATACACCGAGATTTTTTTTTTCAGTGCAGGGTGCCCAAGTGATAAATCTTCAGATTAAGGGAGCAAAAGATAGAGGACAAAAAAATATATTCGCCCGCTCGTAAAGCGTTTTCCTTTTTACCCTCGGAGCTAATTCAATTTTAGTGACTCGAAGAGTGCTTACATTAGCATCCATCCAAGCAAACAAAATTACTTTACCTGAGAAGGGGTCGTATAAAATCGAAAGAGGCATAACTGCGGCTATTAATCGCGCAGACATGAAGCAATAAATTTTCTCTAACGTTGATGATAATGAACAGTGGGTGTTGCGAAAACTAGATCTTACGCACGGACTAAGTGACGAACTTTCTCCTCCACGGGGAGTATACAGTAAAACACCGAAAAATAAAAAAATCTGCCCCTTGAATTCCAGATAATTTATCCCGCGAGGTTATCACGGAATCAAAAACTTCCTCGGTTGACTTTATAAGCGCGATGTTTCGAGCCATCCAGCCGCTCCAAATTTCGACTGATCGGTGATGAAAAATGACTTTTTAACTTCCGAACTCGAGAAATAAAGAAAAAAGCACGAAAGCACCAGACTAAATCAATTGATTTAAATTTAATTACATCCGGATGGACTCAATTTCGACTACAATCGCACGACCGCTCTCAGACAACGTTAAGAGCCGCACTTTTTGACACAAGAAAAGAAGAAACGAGCATGCGTGCACGGATATTGAATTATTTAAATTAACTAAAAACAAATTTGATTAATTAGCGGGTGGACTTAATTTCGATTCAAAATCGTATTCCGACGAACACGATTTTCACACTTTTGGATGCGAGGTCAAAAGTACCGAACAAGCGGGTGCCGATACCCGGCGGGTGGAATTGAATTTTAATTTAATTTCGATTGGAATCTATAACTGAGGTGAAACATTGTTATCGGGCCCGGGTCCCCGCACACGCATGACTAATATGTGGGAACCGCTGAAACGGCTGAAAGCAGACGGAGAGTTCACAAACATTTGCTCAGTCTCGTTTACGGGCGAAGCGCCGAGCAGGAACCCATTTCTGCGTTCGCACTGGCACGGATGAAAATTTCGCGCCGGTAACATAACTCAAACCGCCGTTCCGCGAATCGTGAAAAAATTTCCCAGGCGGCGCGTGCAGCTGTATAATTCCCCTTGTTTTCAGCCACCGCTCGTCGAGCTTCCCTGTAACAACTGCAAATCCCGGTTCGGCGTAAAATCTTGGAAATGGAGATGTTGCATGTGTGAGGAATTTGCGATTTGACTGTTGATTCTTACGTAAAAGTTCGCGAGAAACACGATGGTGCCACTGGTTTTCTCTGAAATCAACTCCCAAGCTCAAAAAAAGCTCTCAAGTTGAGGCCAAAATGGAGGGTATATCCCGCCCTATCCTGAGAGTCCACCTCTACATAAAAACTACTTAAAATGTAGCTAAGAGTGCGATAAAATTTGGTGATACGGCGAGTTTGCAACCAGTGCGTCATCCAAAGCGTTATATTTGCTATTTACTGCGGAAACTTTGCATCAGTGTAGTTGAAAATTTTGCGCCAGACTCCGTTCTCGGAATTTTTGGGGGTCTCATATATCACATTAAATCAATTGCTTTCCGAAAAGCGCGCATCCACGTTTCACTTCCCGTCAAAAAATTGCGCGCCTCGTCATTTTTCCGATCGGGCCAGTCCGCTGTTAATGATTTACCATCGGATCTCTTTTTATGACAACCAGAATGGAGATGTTGCATGTGCGAGTGGTGCCACTGGTTTTCTCTGAAATCAACTCCCAAGCTCAAAAAAAGCTCTCAAATTGAGGCCAAAATGGAGGGGATATCCCACCCTACCCTGAGAGTCCACCTGTACATCAAGACAAACTCTAAATACATTAGCAGTGATGCCGTGTTTTCAGTTATAGAGTCCCTAAATAAAGTGGCAGCCCTGTCAATGTATTTGCTCCCTATCTTTGCATGGAGAGCTTGTCTCGTTGTAGAGATGGACTCTCAGGATAGCGTGGGATATTCCCTCAATTTTTGCCTCAACTTGAGAGCTGTTTTTGAGCTTGGGGGTTGATTTCAGAGGAAACCAGTGGCACCATCGTGTTTCTCTCGATCTTTTACATAAGAATTAACAGTCAAATCGCAAATTCCTCACACATGCAACATCTCCATTTTTAATAGTGCAGGCTCTATCCAATCAGAAACCGAAATATTTATTCTAATAAAAAAGTTTCTTGTTCATCGTACCTTCGACGTGAAAAGCTCTGCAAACTTGACGAACGGATGCTCAGATGAGATAGAGCGTGATGAACACCCGACAATCACAAAAATGAAGTAGAAAACGCTATGACAGGGGACTGCGACGGGGACGGATCCGTAATGGGATTCCAATTTATCAAAAACCCCGCGCGTATTCTTGCCAGATATTCCCGAAAAATCTACATTTTTACACGGAATCTTATGGGCCGTTCGGCGTTCAAGTATTACGTGTCGCACTTTTCCCGATTTTTTGACCCCCCCTACCCCTTCTAACGCACCCAAAACGCAGCCCTACACAGAGTCCCTTTATACTGAGAGTCAAGACAACACCCCCTCATGGAGTCACAAACGGGAATAAAGAGTACAGAAATTGAACGTTTTTTGTAATCTTTGATCGGCCCATTCTCAAATTCCTTTCTCCGTTCCTTCTCTTATTCCGTTTGTTCCTTGCCGAACCCGCAATTCCCTGGTCAATTCCAGATTATAATCTTTGTAGTCGGCGAAACTGTAATCTTTATTCCCGTTTGTGACACTGTGAAGGCCGAAAATACGGAAACCAATCGGAAATGGATTCACACTGTCTTGACTCTCAGTATAAAGAGACTATAGCCATACACACCCCTATTTTGAATTATGTAACGCTAGCCTGACCCCCCCCCTTTTCAAAAAATCAAAAAAACTCTGAGAACACAGTTTAAAAAAGGGCGGGATGTTCAATGTTTTGCTCGTGTTTTTCAAATCCCCCCCCCCTGAGGCTCGGCTTTGTTACGTAACGCTGGATTTGACCCCCTTCCCCCTTGTAACGCACCGTAACGCTGGCTCAACCCCCCTCCCCCCTCAGTGCGTTACACTTCAAAAAAATTCGGTCATATGGACCGAATGCCGGTGTTCCATATTATTCCAGCCATTCGGTTCGTCAAACTGAACTTTCGCTTCTTTTAACCAAACGTTCGACATATGAAGCCAAACTTAGTTTGTCAATTCACTTTATCGCACCGGTTCTATTACACGAACCGAAGGTTCGGTTTGACAAACCGAAAATTCAGTTTGACGAAACGAAAATTCAGTTTGGCGAACCGAATAAGTTGGGATTATGTGGAACTCCCAACTTTGGTACATAAGACCGAACTTTTGTTTTCAGTGTACGTGATACTTGAAAGGCTTCTCACGGAAATGATGCTGATTTTCAGGGAAAACTGGCGACTGTGTCATGGCAGTCATCTGGCCAGGAGACGCGAGAGACGGGAAGAGATATACCCATGACAGGTTGACACTTACCCATGTAATACATGTCGTTACTATCCCAGTTTTCCGTCGATAGAAATAGTGGGGTTTTGATGACCCTCTCGAATTGGTAGAAGCGAGCCGGGGGTGACGGCTCTGACGGGCTCTCCTTTTGGTCCATGGAACCCTCGTTTTCTTCGTCATCTTCGTCGTCCGAAGATTTACCTGAGCAAAAAAGCATCATTAGCGTCGTTTCGTTCATCGTCCAAAGTTGCAGAAATTATTTGGAAACAAGACTTGGTATCGATGGCAAAATTGCGACACCATGTATCCACCCTGGTAAAAATTGGCAGTAGAATCTGTGCTCCAAAATACCATAGATCTACAGCCGGCTGTAAGATTTCCAATAGCTTCTATAGCCGGCTACACAATTTCTTATAGCATTTTATAGCCGATGGCGATTAAGCAACAGCCAGGCGATAAAGTGTATGCTAAACGTTACTAATTACGGATGCTAGGACTTAGTGAGTTTTTGGAATACTGCTCTCTTTTTGGGCCGTAGTATCTTGATTTATTTTGCGAGGAAAGCTCCGTACTTTTGATGGATGCCTGCCATTACTAATATATTAGAGCGCCTTCAGTTTCGCATGATACTGTGCAATACCTCGGGTGTGAAATAGTTGCTTCAAGCGCCGTGGCAGGCGGGCAGCCAGCGCGAAACACGCATTGGCGCCTACAAACCTAACAGGGATACTTCACGCGCTGCGCAATGCGTGAAGTATCCCTGTTAGGTTTGTAGGCGCCAGTGCGTCGCCGCTCCATGTTGTGTTAGGCTCTAATATTTAATTTGGCGGAGTCAGCGTTATTCAACTCTTGATTTTGAAATGTTTGCACATCCTGTATGGATTATTCTCATTTTAATTGATGAACAAAAATATGTATTAAAGGAAAATATAATGTGTGTTTTGTAAATATTAAGGTGGTTCAAACTTAATGATTTCAAAAGCACACGAATTTCTACACAATTTCTTATAGCCTTTTATAATCGATTGCGAAAAAGCAACAGCCAGGCGATAAAGTGTACAGCCCGGCGATAGGAACTATAGCCCGGCTGCATAATTTTTTATCACTTCGTGTAGCCCGGCCGTATGATTTTTTTCGCATTCTACAGCCAGCTATATGATTTTTTGTAGCCTTTTTTAGCCGACTATAAGAATTCCTGTGGTATTTTGAAACGCAGCTCTTATCGCCAATTTTTACCACGGCAAGATTGCCACAGAATCTAGAGACTAAATTTCCCTGATTTTCCTGACACATTTTGGTAAATTTACACTATTTTTGAGGGGCTTGGATGACAAGGTGCATAAGTACAGTTTTTTAAAAGCATTAGAAAATAAAGATTTAAATGAAACTAGTCTTAAAATATATTCCGCGAAAAATTCACTACTTAAACTAAAATCCAATTTTCAAGCATAGAAATGTGAATAAATAAGTGTCATACTATGTCACGTAAGGAAGCATTACAGGCGGACACTAAACATCGATCTTCTTTTTCTCAACATGATATGAATGAAACACCAGAAAGGGTAAGAAATTTCACATGACATATGCTTCCCCATCGAAATTTCACGCTGGACACGTTAAACAAGTTGAAGAAGCCCAAAAGCGACGGATGAATGAAAAAAAAAACCCGCAATAGTGTATTTCCTTCGGAAAATACACTAATTAGTATTCAGAATTTACATTAGAATTCAGTGATTCTTCCGCTGCTCAGAACTCTTAAATCAGTGTGATTGCCAATTGGATAAAAATAGATTTTAGTGTTTTCACAAGCAGAAAGTTTGAAGTGACAAACTTGCAAAATATTGCTGAAGAATTGAATTCGGCAACTTTATTGGAGTTCATCATGTTCTGCGTTGAATTCCAATGAGGAGGCATGTGTTACGAAGCTTAATTTCTTACCCGTGCGGTGGTCCATTCTGTCAAGCTAAGGAAGAACGCCGTAAGTATCGACTCTCAGGCGGTGTCAGATTCCTTTCGATAACACACGATTTTCCGGGTAAACCTATGCATATTTTTCTTCTAATTTTTCAGAAAAATGTGTTCACAATTTCACCAGTAGCGTGGCGTGAATGATCGAGTATCGATCTTTTCCCATTTGAAGCTATGGTAAAGAATCGATTAATAAGGTGTTCTTTGCGAACACCCTGTTTATCGATCCTTTCCTATAGATTAAATGGTAGATCAATCGATATATCACAAAACACACCCAGCCACTGAATTTCACCTCAAGTTCCTGAAAATGTTGAAGGTAAATATTCATATCCTTCCTCAAAAATAAACAATTTATCTGCGGCAATTTGGCAACTCTTGAATGTCCATACGGCGTTCTTCCTTTAGCACCGCAGCATTTGTTCCTTCTTCTTAACTAAGTTCCGCCACCTCATAATGCAGATGAGTATACTTACTAGAGAACTGCCCCATGTTACTCATTGGAACCGATTCCTTCGATGAGTATTTGTTTCCCTCACTGTACGGGCTGTCCTCAAAGGTGTGTGCAAGGCGTGTTTTCGCTGAATTTGGGTTTCTTGAAATTGGAGTCTCATATCTTTGAGTGTCTACGACGTAGTTTCTTTGAGACCCCCTGCTCGCTGACGATTCGGACTGCGGAGCCAACGCATCAGGAGCTGTACAACAAAAAATAACAGCATTGCTTTAACGGATGAAACGGAAAATCACTAAAAATATGGCCATGACTGAAGGTGAATCTTGAAATAAAGCTGTCTCACAAAGCTGAAGTTTTTTGTTATTTGAGCATGCGAATCCTTACCTAAAAAAAAGTGGAGTTGATTTAACATTCTAGATGTAAAAACAGTGTGCGAGAATTCATAAAATGCTCCATTACTCGCCAGTGCAGTTAATTTTACATCTTGCATTGCTGAAGTAATTGCTGTGGCCGGTAATTCAGCATTTTTTAAATTCTCGCACACTTTTTTTACATCCAGAGTGATAAATCAACTTCATCTTTTTTCGGTGTTTCAAAAAAATCTTATGGCATAATAGGTTAGTCCAAAATTTACTTTTAATGTCATAGGAAGCTCCTAAACTTCATTCAAAATAGGGTCTCCTTGGCCTATTGCATGACAAAGGTTGTATTTTGAAAAATTAATTTCTGATTAATTTCGAATTTTTTATCCATTCTTTTCCCATTTTCCTCTTTTGTGTACAAAAAACTGAAGATAAACGATACTTTGAAATTTATTAGGAATGTTAGTCACGGAAAATTCCCCCGTGTGGTATGGGTTTCATTGTTTTCCGTCGAAAAAAACCCATAAGTTAAGGCACGATCGTTCGATAGCGAGAAATCCAAGGGGATAAATAGATTGACCTACATACATTTTCAATAAGTTACTGACACCGGATGAACTTGCTGTTTTCTTTCAAGATATGGACCATTCACGAAGAGAGAAAGATGAGCTGTATTTAAAAGTAAAACGAAAATATAATGAAGTGATTGGCATTAAACATCAATTTAATGCAAATAAGCATGCTTTATAAAAAAGAAGAAACAATCTCCTGCTCATAGTCTTTCATGTTTTCCAGGGAGCATCCCAGACATTTATAAAGGAACACGCGGTTGGGGCTACGGACCACATTGACGCTCCCCTTCTTTTCCCTACCCACACATAATATTTGAATATTCGATGAATATTCATTGAATACCCTCCAGTGAAAGTCTAGCACGTCCAGTTCAATAAAAAATCCAGCACTTTGAATTAAAATAATTGGTTGTTTCGTCCCAGAGGAAAAATCCACTGAAAATAATCCAGTTTAAAGCAAGTTTACATAAGAACAAAATCATCTACTAAAAGATGGTTTACTTAATTTAAAAGAATTTCGGATACAGAACCAACCCAAGGTGTAATAGTTAGACTGCTGACTAATCATGATTCGTGTCGATTCTATTTGACTCCCTCTCGAATCAAGTAAAACGTCTCCATTTAGCCGTGTTGAATCTGTCGACCTCTGATTCGAAGTGAACTTTTTTCTGTTGAGAGCATCGTTGAACAGAGGAGATTTACTCGCATCAAGTATAGAAAATAGCACTAATTTTAAAATCATTACGTGAAATTGAGAAAAAATTCTCTGAAAAATTGAAAGGAAAATATTCATAAATTCACAAGAAAATTGAGTTTAATGTGGCAACGCCTGAAGTTTCATACGGCGTTCTGCCTTGGCACGGCAACATTGATCTTGACCCTCCCCCTCCCTAGAACCTTGGGTTCAATTATGGACGTTTTATTCTCTTTTGGATTAAATTTGAAAGTTTTCGATGTGCCTACCGCGCTCTAGGTTTAATATTGATGCAGTATAATGTTTGATCTCCTAACTGCGTCTCGCGGTCCACGAGTGGTGAGAAATTAATTTAGGAGTGGTTTGGTTAGTGATCCCATTGCATGTGCCAGCGTTCCGGGATTCGGAACTATTCTGTTCCAATTTCTCCCACTCCATGATCATCGAAATTCCCGGGATTTTTTTTTAGATTTTTTCTAAAGTTCCGAGAAAGTTCCGGAAAATTCAAAAGATCCGGAACATTTTAAGAATTTCAAATGCTCCGGGAAAAATTCAGGAAAACCTTAAAAGTTCCGAATTCGGTACTAATTCCGTGAAATGGAAGCACTGTTGATTACCTACCTAAATTTTGATGATATCTGGGATCCGTCGGGGGCACGGCGAAAGGGGACTCGTTGTTCTCGGGCGATTGGTTAGGGAAGTGGTAGGAGAAGAGGAGGCCCGGTTTCCTGCCCCTCTCTCGCTCCTTCTCCCCCTCCCCTCTCCTCTCCCCGCCCTCGGGATCCGAGTCGGACGTCGACGACCATCTCTCCTCCCGTTCTTTGATGATATTCGCGAGCTTGGCTACTATCCGGTCCTCCTCGCTCAACCCCCCGAGGCCGCTTAAACCTGCAACATACAAGAATAACATCTGAAATGTGAAAATTTACAATTTGAAAGTTGGTATAGTGTTCTGCCGTACACGGAGAAAAAAACCTCGTGCGTGGGACCCGAAGTTCAGATCATATGGATCTCCGAAGTTTTCGGATTGAGCATCTGAACACTTTAGGTCCAGCTGCTGAGGTTTTGATCACACACCTTAAACTTCAGTTCTTACAACTGAAGTACTTCAGATGTGAGAACCGAAGTTTTTCGGATGTGAAAACCGAAGTTCTTCAGATGTTAGAACTGAAGTTTCAGATGTGTGATCCAAACCTCAGCAGCTGGACGACCTAAAGTGTTCAGATGCTCAATCCGAAAACTTCAAAGATCCATAAGACCTAAACTTCGGGTCCCATGCACGAAGTTTTTTTCTCCGTGTGCTAGGGGAAAACGCCGTATGAGCCCTCAGGCGTTGCCAAAGAGCCTTGTTAAAAATGGGTCGAAATTCGCCCCTTTTTAGGCCCTCGATTTTGCAAACGGGAATTGCGCCAAATTGTTGCATATGATGCCCTAAGTCTCTGGTAAAAATTTCAGCTTGAGTTGAAAAGTGGTTTCGGAGATACGGGGTAAACATTTATGTTCGGATGAAATCATGCGTATATTCTCGTGCGACGTGCGAGGTACACTGAGAAAACGTGAAAATATACGGCACGAATAGATCTTAGGGAATAATACGAAATCAATTAAAAAAAATCAAAAAAAAAATGCGAAAAAAATTCATGGCCCCTTGAAAAGTGGTTTTAAGTAATTTTTAAGGCCAGAAATGGAAAGTACGCGAAAAAATACATAGAAAATCATGTAACGGGTGATATCAAAACGAAGATTTGGCGAGGAACAACTGCGCGCGGGAAAGAGCGCGCCGCCAACCGCTCAACCCCCACTTTCACCCCCTAGCGCCTTAAAAAGTGGTTGTAAGTAATTTTTAAGGTTAGAAACGGAAAGTACGCGAAAAGTTACATAGGAAAACATGTGATGGGTGCCATGAAAACGAAGATTTGGCGAGGAACAGCCAAGGAAAGAGCGCGCCGCTGGCCGTTCAACCCCTATTTTCACCCTTTAGCGCCTTGAAAAGTGGTTGTAAGTAATTTTTAAGGCCAGAAATGGAAAGTACGCGAAAAATTACATAAAAAAACATGTAACGGGTGACATCAAAACGAAGATTTGGCGAGGAACAGCCGCGGAAAGAGCGCACGCCAGCCGCTCAACTCCCCCACTTCACCCCCCCGTATCTCCGAAACCACTTTTCAACTCAAGCTGAAATTTTTACCAGAGACTTAGGGCATCATATGCAACAATTTGGCGCAATTCCCGTTTGCAAAATCGAGGGCCTAAAAAGGGGCGAATTTCGACCCATTTTTAACAAGGCTCTTTTCTCCTGAAAATTACTAATTTTCAGGAAAATTTTTGAATATTTTCCCGCCAATTTCTCAGATAATTTTGTTTGTTATGTAATCTAAATTGTCTGAAAATTTCAACGAAAAACATTTCTAATTTTCCTTAGAAATAATAATTTTATCCAAGGAAATTTGGCAACTCTCGAATGTTCATACGGCGCTCTTCCTTAGCACGGCAGAATGGACCGCTATACAAGGTACGAAGTTCAGCATTCTACATTCTGATATATGTTTCTTAACCTTGTGCATTCACTTAAGTTAGTAAAACTCCACGTCTACAGTCTATAATAGGCGCAAATGTGTGTTTCACTCCAACTGACCGACTGCGCTGCATTTGGCGTAGTGCGAGAAGTATTCATGCTGTCTTGTAGGCGCTAATATGTGTGCCACTCCGACCGTACTGTTTGGCGCAATGCGCGAAGTATTCCTCCAGTCTCGCAGGCGCTAATATACGTCGAACGTCGGTCCTCGGTCGCACTGTGTTTAGCCCGATCATCTGAACTCGCGATAGAATAATCGCGGCATCGAATAAATGGGGCTTAAAGGGCCCATGTTGTGTCTCGACGCCGTGTGAGCATTTCAACGTTGCCTCGTTTCTCCAGATAGAATATTTTTCCGCGAAAAGTTAGAAAAGTTCTGTTAATTCGCTTTTTTAGAGTGAATGGACTATTAAACAAGGTATGAAAATAAGCATTCTGGTGCATGTTTCGACACCAGAATTTCACATTAAACACGATTCTTGCATCAAAAATAACTGTAATTAGTTCCTAAATAAGATATTAGCGTTTTAATTTTACATTGGTTACGGAAAATTCGAAGTGCCCGGTCACAGAAATACAATACTCCACTTGAGTCAAATCGCGCACTACAACGGTTTTGGCAGGCTTCTCAATCAAACATTGTTCATTCCCATCCTTTATTGGTCAAAGTGTAAACAATTTGCTATAGCTGAGCCAAAGCGTCAATATTGAGGTTGCCATATTATCACACCACAAAGACTGCCGCGGTAACGTTTAGCTTGCGATCTGACGAATACGCGAACCATAGAGGTTTTCAAGAGCGGGAGGTTTGAATTCACGCGTCAACCAAAATTAAATATCTTATTGGTTAAGAAGCAATTTCAGTAATTTTCGTCGCACGTATCCTGTTCAATGTTGAATTTTAGTCAAGAAACATGTATCAGAATGCTTAACTTCGTACCTTGTCTGATGGTCCATTTGAAACGTGTTATTGGAAAAGTTTCGACGAGTTTATTAAGAATGAGGTACCTGGGTACGCGGAAGCTCTGCGATGCGAACCAACTCTTGGCGAGGAAAATTTCGCAAGACAAACAGCCGTGGTGCCATGCCAGTGGCGTGGCGTGAATTGCGATACATCGATTTTTATGTCATTTAAATCTATGGAAAAAGATCGATTGTCAGGGCGTTCGCAGCGAACACCTTAGTAATCGATTCTTTACCATAGCTTCAAATGGCGAGATATCGATAATCGATCATTCACGCCACGCCACTGAGCTTATTATGTCGAAAATCTACCACCAAGCTCATGAAAAGCTCACGAACTTGAAGCTTTAATGGCAAACGTTGGGGTTTGAAAAGACGGTGGACGGAGCACGGTGGATCGCGTCAATGAGAGTAATCGGAGAAATTTTGAAAACTTTTGAAGCATATAACTTCGTTTGACGAAACTTTGATGTTTTAAAAGTGGCTCCATTACTTTCTTTGTAAAATTGTCTTTTAGAAGCACCTCTTGAAAAACAGGTGATAAAATAAACATTGAAATTTGCAGTTTTTGTCAAAAATTTCTTGTCCGACTTCTGTCTTTGACTCGATTCACTGTGCGCCTTCCTGTGAACGTCGAATACCTCACGAGACGATTCTTGCAAGTTGTCAACACTGCTTTTCCTTCACTTGAATGTATGCAAAACAATAGATTATTGGTTAGGTAGCTTGCCTTGCCTGATATCGATATTTTCAATGGATTTAAATGACGCAAAATTGTGTTACCAACTTGCAAAATCGTATCTGCTAATGGTCCACCACATCAAATAGTTTTTCCGATTTGTCGATAGTGGTTGAGGGTAATTCAGTACAGAAAAGCTGGCTAGCCGCTCTCTAAAATCAAGAGCGGATCCAGCATAGTGTTCAGGAGGGGGGGGGGGCAAATTTTGAGGCACGTGACTGGGGGGTCCCCCGGAAAATTTTGAGAATTTAAACACTTGCTGATGGAATTTTAGCCTATTTTTAACCTTGGAAGTTCCTATTATTAAGTCGGATATTTTTATACAGGTATCCCCACTTTTTTCCGTCAATTTGATGGTAAAACACAAGAGAAAAAATTAAAACCTTTTTACCCTTCTTTCCCTTCTTTCCCTTCTTTTTCTTCTCTTTTTTCCTTTCCCTTTTTTCTCCTCTTTTCCCCTTTCTTTCCCTCCCTCTTTTTTTTGGCTCCAGGGGGGGGGGGCGATCCCGCCATCGCCTCCCCTGGATCCGCCCCTGTCTAAAATCAACTGCAGGAGTCCGGTGGGATCTTATGTATCTTAACTGCTCCCTGTGAAGTTCGATCCATTTGTCCTGATGTCCAGGGTGGAGATTTCGCCGACGTGGGTAATTCGAAGAGGGTACGAAAGGCACGGACAGGGGATTAGAGAAGGTCGTGACCTAGGTCCTCGTCGACGAGGAACACGTAGATTCCATTAATCACCCGGTTGACCTCATGGCCCTTAGCGTTTCGCGTTTGCGAATCTCGGCACACCATCAGTAAACCGAGTAATTTATCGTTTCAAAAAAAACAAAGAAACGTGAAATTGCACTGATTAATAATTTGATTTGAGTCAAAGGCAGACAATACCATCCGGAGATTCCGCGTGTCGGACATGGATAGACAGTGTAAGGCTCAATGGGTCAGTTACGCTGGTCACAGAATCGTGTTCTAATGCTTGATTCTTGTAGACTAGCTAAAAATAATAAGGTCTGTCCAAACTGCAACTTTTTATGTTCAATATTAACCGAGATATTGCCCTTAGAAAAGTCGAGTTTTTGACGTCATTCACCGCTGTAGTGACACTCCTGGTTCCTACAAACTCGCTTTCATCAGTCAGTGTGACATAAATTTGCACTGGTTACTCAGCGTGAACTTGGACGGAAGCAAGGTAGAAGAATCCAAGGGTGTCACTACCGCGATGGATGACGTAAAAAATCCGACTGTTCTTAGAGCGATATCTCGGTTAATATTGAACGTAGAAAGTCGCTGTTCATGTAGATCTAAAAAATTAATTAATGTTAACTAATCTACGAGAGTCAAGCATCGAAACACGATTCTGTGACCAGCGCAACTGATCCATTTTGATCGATACACTGCGTTTGAGATGTGCATCGTTGGATCAAAATGAACACTAATCCACTTTTTGACCGCAATTTGAAAGAATTATATCGATAAAATTTCACAGTGATACCACTATTCGACCACGTGGGAGCCCGTGTTGTCTACACCGACAATTGCAAGCGAAATGTTAATGCGTTCGATTTACCTATCCGCATTTGGTAAAAGGATCTTTGTATCTTCTGATTAAAC